GAACCACAGGATTCCATTCACTTTTCCCCATGTCACTTCATCTCCAAATTTCACTCCAATTTCCACTGTCTTTTTCAGCCTGGTGGCAGCAGCCACCCGCACAGCATGCTCCATCATCCCTCATGCTATAATCCCTGAGCCCAGGGCTGTCTCTCGTCCAGCTATCAAATCCCCAAGACACCCAAACACTTTTCCACTGTGTTCCCACTCATCAGAGCTGCTGCCAGGCTCAGTCTTGCACTTTTCCTCTGCCTGCTGTTTCCCAAACTGCGGTGGTGGTGAGTGGCCTGCAGGCCAGCTCTAGGCTCAGGATGCCATGCGAGGTGACCAGTTGTGCACAGGGACACACAAATGCAGTGCTGGCCACTGGTCACTTGACACTGGTCACCAGCTGCTATTGGCACATGCACCTGCAGGGTGGCCATGCTGGAGGCATGACAGAATAAATCCTGCTTGAGCCAGGGGGCACACCAGCCATCCAGAGCTGCATGCACAGGCACACAGATGGATGGGGCAGGGCAGCACTGCCCTGTGGGAATAGGAACCTGCAGGATGTGCCAAAAATCCTGCAACTGCCCCAGCCACAGCAGCTACTGACGCTAGCCAAGAGGGGAAAAAAGCCAAATATTCCTTCTGCAGCATTGTGAACTATGCAAAGGTTTCCAGTGGTGTGGCAGGATAGTCCAAGGACGAGCAGCTAAACAAATTCTGAGAACTCATATATTAGATCAATCTAAATATTGTCTAGTATTTTATAGTTTAATTGCAATAATGGCTCCAGTGATCTAAAATACAAATAAAATAGAGGAGAACCAAAGCTCCGTGCTCTTGCAAACCCTTGTTTGACAAAGTTCCATCAAGGAGCTGGAGACTGATGTAGAATTCAGCTTTCCCATACAAACAGAGGTCAGATCTTAAAAGCCTAACTAAATGTTTTCACTATTAGAGCCCCGAGTCATGCCCCAGGAAGAGGCAGAATTCCATGCAAGGCTCCCTGCCTTGAGAGCTCAGAGCTGCATCTTTGGAGGTTCACCTTCACTTCCTCTTAACTCACTTGAATAGAAAAGGGCTGAGGGGTGTCAGGAGGAGGAGGGAGTGCTGGCACAGACATCCCCACACACACACACCACGTGAAGGCTGAGGAAAATGGTGGCACCACAGGGCCAGGGAAGAGGGGGAGCAGCTGCTCCTCAGCCAGTGCTGCAGATGATTCTGCATCATGCTGAGGTTTGCTGTGAGATGGCCACACACCAGTGGTGTGGTATGGGGGCAGAACCCTGCCCAGTCTTCCAGCAAGCACAGACTCAGGTGGAGATGACACAGGGCACCCCCCAGCACTGGTGCATCCCCCAGTCATGACACACTGCAGCATCTTCCTGCATCTGGGACACACCCTGTGAGCACAGCCTGGACAAGAACTACAATTAAATAAAGAAATAAGCAGAAGTTTTCCTGGCCTTTTCCTAGCCCAGAAATCTGCCACACACACTGCTCCCCACCCAGCCCCACATGTTGACACAAGCCCAGTGATTGGGAAGAAGCCAGCACAGGAGCTGCTCCAGGGGCTGGGAGCCAGCTACAGCAAAAGCTTGTCGAGACATTTTCTGAGTGAAAAAGAGGAGGTGAATACCACTCCACATATCATGGTGCTAGGATTATCCTGGAGATGTTAGTGTGAATTTTGTTTTCAGATTGGACAAATCAATGCCTGTGGCTTCACTAGTGGTCCCTCTACACACCTGATCTTACCCATGGGTGTTCTGCCCTCATGTCAAAGGAAAACGTCCTCCGGAAGCAAATGCTGCAGCTTCCCCACACACTGAACTGAACGAGGTCAGCTGGAATAAAGCAGGGAATGAGAATGGAGCTGGCCATTTCTTATGTGGGAATAACAACAGCAAGGCTGGCACTAGGATTATTTTCTTCTGCAAGGAGAAACTAGGAAACAATCACCAGGTTTTATAGAATCCATGTCAGAGGAAAATTGAACGCATAAGAGCACATGCATTTGTTATATAGAAGACTCATCATTAGAAATGAACATATAAAATTTAATAGCTTGGTTTAAAATACATTTTCAATTAAAAAACAGCAGGCAAAACAAAAAAAAACACCCCTCAGTTTCATAAAACATACATGACATTGCTGCTACTGTTATAAGACCCGTGTCCCAGAATATCTTATAGTGGAAAACAATCATCAGATTTAGTTCACATACTTCATTAAGCAGTAAAAAGAAATAACATTCATGTCAATCTTAGTTCTATGGAGATTCTAAATCTACTTCCCTGACCCTAGACCAAGTTTCTGTAATAAAACTTCCACTTTCAATAAAAATGTGTAAATATATATATGTATTCTATATATCAGGTTTTTTAAAAAATTCCCTTGCCATAGTAAAATGATTCCCGTGACTGCCGAAGGGAAGCCCAAGCAGGAGGCTGGTGTTGGCTGGGTACGAGTCCCGTGGCTGCTCTGCCCGGGGTGGATTCCTGTACAGGGTGGCAGGGGTTGGCCAAGTCTCTTCAGCACCGTGCTGCACATCAGCCTTGAGCCCACGTGAGTGTTCTGGCCACATGCCCACAGGCACAGGTGCATCTGTGAGCAGCTTGCTCGAGGGGAGCATGCAGTGTCCAGAGCATCACCAACCCTCTGCTGGGGCCCATCAACAAAAGAGAAGGAAGGAGAGGGGAATAGATGGGGGGGAATGGAATGAACCAGCTCAGGATTGATCCAAATACAAATTCCAAAATACTGTATTTTATATATATCATTAAAAAATGCGAGGAGGGACTTCAAGTGGTCACCTGGACTCACCACCAAGAGAGAATCAATTACACCTGTGACAGTCCAAAAACACCTTTGCTCAGCCTGGCTCTGAAGACCTTTGATGCCAAACCACTGCCTCTATGGACAGACAACCTGCTCTCACTGGAGAAAACTGCCTCAACACACAGCCTGAAATTCTGTGATTTACATCCACTACTCCCTGTGCTTGCCATGGATACGGAGGACATGTCCATGGGGCAGGAGGCTGCTCCATCAATCATCCCATCTGAACATGACCCCTCATCAGCCAGACCACGCAGGCCTTTCTCCTCAGAAGCCACGAGCTTTGGCCAAAGGACCACGTGCTCCGTGCTCCAGTGGAGGCCCCAGCGGTGCCAAGCAGAGCCACAGGGGGCAGGTCTCCTATTTCTTGGAGGTCATGCTCCTCAATGTGGCATTTGCCTCCCTCTTCCAAACAGCATCATGACAGCGCTAAAAAATAGTAGGTTACAGTTCGTTAACCATTAAGTAGAAACATTAATTATTAAGTAAAATCATATGCTACTTTTCTGGACTATTTCTCCAGTCTTTTCAGGTTGACCTTCATGTCCTAGGTGAGGTATGTGCAGCTTCGTACTGTCTGAAAATATTACAAATCTCTTTCATTCCCAGATCCCTAACTAAAGCTATGACACTGGAGCTGGCACTCATGTTCATCTGCCCACTATGTAACTGAGGTTTTATGCCTTAGTGCTGCCCTTTAAATGCTCCTCTTTCATTTGCTATTAACCAAAGAGTGCCTTTCCTTCATAAGCACATGAAGAGTAAATAGCACAGGGCAGTACTCTTTGGAGGTGTCTGGCACTCCCAGCTGGGGCTCAGGATGCCTGCTGTGCCCATTGGGTCTCTCCAGCTCAGCAGCAGGTCCATGGTATGTACAAACACCAAGACAGCATAACCTACTTGGAGGCCTTACTATCTGCTAACACTTGGCCTGCTGAACCATTTTGGCACCTTCCTCTCTCAAAAGCCTTGCCCGTGCATTTTCTGTTGTTGGCATCCTAGGCCTTGCAAGCTAGCTCCTCTAGCCCATGGGTTCATCCAGCCTGAGCTGCCAGTGTGGGCAGGACCCTGCTGAGCCTTAAGGACACTGCTACAGTAAAAAAACTCACCCTCCAGGAGACTTTCTTCCTGACCCCCAAACACAAGACTTCAAGAGAACTTCATCTGCCCTGCTCCTCCTGTGAACCAGCTCTCAGACTTGGCCCAAACCACCTCCCAGAACAGCAGCACCCAGCTGTTTAGTGGCAATTCATGACAGAAACCGGGACTTGCATCACCTGCCTGTGCATGAGGATTTAGGAGAGCTGATATCTTCTTTCTTCTATGTAGGAAGATCCATGTTTAACAAGCAGGTCTCTTGTGCCTTCTATGAATGTACAAACGTGTGCTCACCTTTGGTGCATGATAAGGGTTTGTCCATTTTTAAATATCTATGTTAAATATGTTTTCTCTGTATATGGCATCCTTTTAGATGGGCTTCATTGAATATATTCACGGTATATACAGAACACCATCTTTTATATATATTATATATTGCTTATATGTACACATTTACAAACCTTCAAAAAGATATTGCACTTATATACAATATAGCTTCATCTGATGAGAGTTCACACAGTTACTAAGGCGAGTTCTTCATAGGCTAGGCAGTTTTACATTCCCCCCAAATGACACAAGTGATTTCAACAGTCTGCCCTGATCACAAGTAAACATTATAGACTTTTTTCCAACCTGCATGCAACTCCTACTAGCATCAATTAGTAGTTTTGCAGCTCTCCCTAGCAGAACACAGTCCAGTAAAATGGTATCAGCTGATAACAGGCTCAAACATGGTTACTGAATAGATAAATAAGACATCACCAGTCTAAAAGGCCACCTTCCAGGAGATTTCCCCTCAAATACCTACTAGTGGTTTACACACTAGTAAAAAAATATACATGCTCTCCGCTTAATTGCCAGTATCTTTGCTTGCCCATTTCAAGTGCAAATAAGATCATGAGCAAGAAGACAAATACAAATGTATTAAGCAAAACCACTGCTCTGCTCCCCAGAACAAGTCAAACATCTGGCTTTCTTCTGGAGGTGATTAGTGTTTTGCTCAACATACTGAATTTATGGGAAAATGTTCACTTGAGACCTTTGTTTAAAATCCACAGTGATCTGTGATCTTAGATCTCAGTCAAAGTCAGCTTGTAAGATCCTCCAACCTCTTCAATCTGCAGCTGGAAGGTATCTTCATTAGAATAGTGTTTCACAATGTTATCATCCATGTTGACCAGAATTCTGAAAAAACAAAACAAATCAGTTCTAAATGCCAACGGCACTCTCAAACCTAAAAAAGCCTGGACTGCCCAAGGGTAACAAGATCCTGCTCATCTCTCTCCGATTTATTGCTTCCCATAGCAGACCTGGCTGTTCTGACCCAACCCTGCCATCAAGGCTGGCAGCCACACTTCTCCAGGTCTGAATGGAAGGATTAAATCTGGCTCCTGGACCAGGGAGGTAGATCTTGGAACCGGCAGAATCCTGAAGCTGCAGGCACCTGGGGCTCTGAATGGGTTTGCTTGGCAGTTATAAACTATCAGCACAAAACCCTACAGAGCCTGCAGGGAAGAAACCACCCGTGCTTGGCCACTTCTTTCATTTGCCAGAAAGGTCAATACCTCTGTGTGTGTGTGTGTGTGCACATGCACACAAAGCTCTGCTTAGCAGTGATTTAGATATCACAGATTTTAAGCTTTTTGCAGCGGTTCTGGTGGGGTAATTATGCTATGAAAGCACAACCCTGGAAGGGTGTATTTTTCTGGCTAGAAGGAGAAGGGGCTGAGACACCAAACTGACAATCACTTATAGACAATCCAAGAAAATTAGTGAGAAATTAAAAGATAAAACAAAATCAGACAATGTTCAGAAACTCACTTATGCGACAAAATAAAAAGATGATGAAGTATGGCCTCTGGGAGAAACAGACACTACACAACTAAGTTCTCTTCAATTTAGCCCACAAAAATACAACCCAGGTTCAGTAACTGTAGCCAAATGCAGATATAGTGAGCCAAATCACCACTGGAACAATTTAACATGGGTTGAAAGAGGTTCATCATTGGGAGTCTTTTAACACACTGAACTCTTCTTCCTCTGACATTATCAACTCTGGTTCAAATAACAATTAGCTCAGAGAGGGTCAGTGACTTGTATTTACACAGGAAGCTAGACTACATATTTCTATAGAACCCTTCCTATAGTCTTCAGCTCTGTAGATGATACTGAAATGTGTGTACTTGTGTGCACACACATGTAACAGTAAATGGCATTCACATATCTGCAGTTCATGGGGGAATTCTACAGCAGATCTGCTGGTTTGAAAAAGGCGTTCTCATTCTTAGGTAGTTACTACACAGGTACATACTCACCCTTTTTTGCATTTTTTGAAGATTTTTCCTATTTTATCAAAAGGAACATCATACTTGTCAGATATCTAGAACAAAAGAAAGCAATGATTGGTGAAGCAAGGAGACTGCTGTCATTGTCTTTCACTTTCTATTTTACAGAAAGGAATAACTCCAACAAAAAGCCTGCAAATGAGGACAACTACTATGCTCTATAAAGGCAACATTAAATCCCAAACTATAGCATATTATCTACAGATCAGAACCCCTTCTCTGCATTCAGCTAACTTCTGTGCAAAAAGTTTAATCATGTTTGAATCTGGATACTTACTTCTCATACAGCAACCTCCTGCCCTTACACCCAAAAGCTCACCTACTTAAAGCCCATGCCCTGACTCTCATTCTCTCTTGGCTCTCTGCTCTCTTAGCATACTGAAAACATTTTTAAATTTAGTGTCAGAGGGATCAAGTAAAAGCTAGGCATGCCAGTGGCTGAAAGAAGAAAATAGCAAGAGAGAGAGGACCTCTGCTGCTAAGGGCATGACGTGATCAGAAACAGTCTCCTTCCTCAGCAGGGTGACATCAGTGTGGAGCCACAGCCACAGACCATGGCACTTCACTGCACAGCCTCCAGAAAGTCGTGAGGTCAGTAACCTAAGCCTGGTTTACTTTGGCAAACTGCTCTATCATACTGACAGTAAGTACCAAACCAATGCACTGCTTTGACATGCAAATGTACAGGGAATTTCCCCCAGGCTCCTTGTTTTAAGAAATATACTGAAACAGAGGTGCAGCTTCACTTCAGGACTATGGGGTAAGGGAGGACTTCACAGCCTTCAACCCCTCTCTCCATTAGCCCTCACCCTCCAGCTAGCAAAGCCTCAGAGCCAGGAAGAGATAAAGATTCTGGTTACAGAGCTATCTCTACAACCAAAAGTTAATGGCCAGGCCTGCCTGTATGTCCCCAAAGCCCCTGTTCTCTGAGCAGAAGCATTAGTCACAGAAAGAGACAGACAAATGTCAGTTCTGAGCTCATGCCAAACATTACACCATTCCTTGGACTTAAGCTCTGTACTTCCCTTGCTCTACACAGCAGCAAGGATAGTGGAAGGCTATTTTGGAAGTCAAGCAGCAGAGAGCAATTTTACACGTGTGCACAGATATATAAAAGTGTTCAGTAACACACAGAGGCTGGGACTTGGAGCTCTGCAATACCAGCTTGTGAAAGGGCAGGGGAGGGCCCTAAACGTGGCTTTGAAAGGCTGAAACAAACCCAAGCCACCAGACACATTCTGCAAATCATTCAATCTCCTAACAAAAGTACCCTCTCTGACAAGAGGAACATCCAATCAAGTTTGACAGACCTGGATCTTCAGGAAGGCTTCTTACACCCAGGCCCCACAGATGTGGGGTAAGGTACTTGAAAGACAAGCTTCCTGAATTCCTTTAACAATAAATTAACACATTATTTGCATTCATTTCTATGGTATTGAAAGGAAATCTTCCTTATTCTTCTTATTCAGAAGAGCAGAAATGTGTGGACACAAGCTGTGACTGAAAGTCTGACTCCTGTGACTGGCCAGTGTGTAAGGACTGGGTAGTCAGGGATTTTTTTCTCAAGGATTACAAACCAGCCTCATTACTTACCGCTTCCATTAGGCCTTTCAGAGATGGTGTCTTTAACATTAGTGCATCAAAGACTTCCTCTGACTCTTTTCGGACATACAGCAACACTGGAAAGCAATTTGGAGAGGAATTAACTGTGCAATTGTTCCTCAGGAAAAATTTCTATCCCACAGTGGTTAAGCACATGGGGACATCCACTGAGGATCTCATGAAGAAACAGACATACACACAGTCAATATACACTTCAGACTGTAGCACGAACACCCACTGCTGGGTTAGCTCACATCTTGCTTCTTGCACATAAAGCCATTGTATGCTCAAGCATCTTTATTGTCAAATTACTTCTGTATTTTCTTTATTTTCTCTATTATTATGAAAAAAAAGGTCATATTTAAAACAAATAAAGGAAGAACATAAAACACAAATCTTTGAGACTCTTGGGATCCTCTATATCTTACAGTCATTTGCCATAAGACTTTCCACAGTCAAATTATTTGACAGATGCTATCACAGCAGGTGAAGCCATCCTGGCCACCTCATAATTTTAAAATAATTTATTTGTACAGTTCTGTGCTCTTCCTGTGCTGTCTCATCTTTCTTCCTGCCCCTTGCTGTGTTTCAGTAATACTTGTACCACCAGAGCTGACATACAATGGAGGCTTGGTCTCCTGCTAGCAGGGGAATGAAAAGAGCAAGAGCCCCAATTAGGTGAGCATCCCTAGCATTCTCAAGCTAGCACAGACTCATTGCATGCAACATCAGCCTCATTAAAAACTGCATTAAGGCTGAGGAATAAGCCAGGAGAGCAAGAGAGCTTGGACAACAGCTTTGCTGTCTTTAATCCATCTTCTAATGACTAGGTATTGCAGCCTGGATTGTTTGCAAGGGTTCAACACAGCTTTGACACACCTGCAACATGAAACAGTTGCTGGCATTTCTGATGGAACAAAGTGAACTGAGGACAGCACAGCACTTGATGCATTTCCCAATTTGCCTGTTAAAGGCAGTTTTAATAAGGGAGGACTGTAGCTTTGAAAAAGGAAGACAGGACAAATACTCTCAGTTACAGCACAGGTCAGATGAGAGTCAGCCAAAGGAGAGAGAATCTCATGGGGCTTGTTTTATGGCATACAGCAACGTGAAAAAACCCAAGAAGTTTGATTTCCTTCTATAAAATTCATCCTTCTTTACTAGTTTATCTAGACTGCAGAAGTGCAGCCCCATTATGGTCAGACTTGCTAGACTTAGCATTTGCTTCTTCATAGGTTTAATACTTCAAGCTTTGTTGCAGTCCTTCCAAACACAACTATTATCAATCAGGTACACCACCTCCAACACCCCAAAGGGACCTCTCATCTCCTTCCACAACACCACAGCAACATGAAATTGCAAAGACTGAAACTCAGTTAAAAATAAGCAGAATATTCTCTTAGCTTGGCTTTCAGAGGTGAACATCCCATTTCCTGGCACCATGAAAGATGCATCAGTTTTATATCCAGAACCAGTTCTTGGTGTTCATTCCTTGAAGTCCTGGAGGAGATTTCCAGAGTATTTTGTAGCAGATTACATGATGAATTCTTTGCTCCAGTCCATTTGGGATACTGGTAAGCTGCTCACCTCGTCTTGACTCTTTCCTTATAGGTTCAGGACCTATTATTGTCTGAGTTGGCAGAAATCCCCAGAAATTCTCACAATATAACATATTTGCACAGCTGAGCCATATCTTGATACATGAACTGTCACTACTCAAAGCCAGAAATATCATTCTGAAGTAAACATCAATATGAATTAAAAAAATATTTAACCTCAGATGCATCTCTCTATCATGATGGATAAATACTCCAAAAATTCAGTCTCTGAAAGAAGAAAATACCTCTTTTTGGCTCTTCTATTCTGGTCATCTTATTTGGAGTAGCAATAAAGTCCTCTTCACCAATATAAGTTCCTCTCTTCAGGTTGGAGCTGTCATTGACAGGGCAAAAAGTTAGGACTGGTAGAATTACAGGGACTTATCCCTTTATCTGAGGGCAGGATGTCAGGAGGTTGAAGGATAGCTCTTACCTTTCACCCTCTAGTTCTTCTGAAGCAACAGGAAGGACCTTTAAAAATAAAGGGGAGATTTTTGTATGTAATCCAGAATTAGAGTTAATTTTCTCTTATAGTCTTCTAATGCTAAATCAAATAACACTTTGGCTCCAAAAGCCAGTAAACATCTTCTTTACCTTTTTTCATATAAAGTTAATAAAAGCTCTCAAGTGAGAGACAGAAACAAAAAGAAGCTAAATAGCTTTTTTCCTGGACTGGTGTAGAATCTTCTGACAAAACTCAGCACTAGGGCCTTTGTAGAAAAACACGCAGGAATGTCAGCCTTATGGATGTAAGTTTATTCTTCATCCTTTACTAGGAGTTCAGGCAATGCTCTTAAAAAGTAGAGTTTATAATTATGTTAGAGCACAGCAGAACTCCCAGCACAGCAAAGTTCAAGATTTTGAAACCTGGCTGCATGCTAATCGTTTCCCTTCCAGTTTCTTGTAAGCTGGAATTCCCAGGAACACTGAGGCAGGGCGCTCTGGCAGTCAATCACAGAGCTGACACACGTGCCAGTTCCACAGGGTAGATTTTCACCCTGCAGCAGGCATCCGGATGAGTCTGTGTTGTACAACAGGATCCCAAGAGATGCAATGAGAGAAAACCACCCTGCAGTTCATGCAATGGAGAAATCCTTTCAAGTTCACAGAAACTGGACGTGATAGGAAGATAATTTTAGGGTGAAACACCCCCAGTTAACTTCAGCCAATGTATCTTGGAGGAACATTTCTTGCCCATATGAGACGCAGCCTGTGTTTGATTACAGCACTGATGCAATCTGACATTTCATATGTACATGCACACAACACAGCATCCCAGGCCTTTTGCAAATATAACTCAGAGCCTCTTCAGCCCCACACCCATGAGCTTTACTCACGTGAGCCCCACGCTGCAGGTTTGCAAAGTGAACATCAGGGATGAACAGGACAGGCTGAGTGTCTAGGTCCATGAAGGGCTTGAAGATGGTGATGTCGGTACGTTTGTGTGAGGGCAGCATGGGCACTTTGACATCAGAAACTGCAGAGAAAGTTCAGGATAGAGGACACTGAAGGCCCTGATGGGCCCTACATCATTTGAAAAGTACATACACTGCTGAATAAGGGTATTTTGCAGTCAGAGAGAAAAGCTCCTGTGGTAAAGGAGTTTGCACTTTGGTTGTCTCCCTCTCAGCTGAGGGCCTGGGCCCCAAGGGCTTGTTTCACAGAGTCAAAGCTTTCTCCACCTCTCCAACTGAGCAACTCAGCTTTGTTTAGATATTACTTAGGGTGGACAATACACTCAGCCCAAGAGAGGTACTGCGGTCAGCCATCCAAACAGAGGGCAAAAATCAGTCCCTGCCCCACCTTCTCCCTCAAAGCCTGCTGGTGTTCCTATGCCGGGAGGATACAAAGAAGACAAAGGGAATTTTGTGTGTTACCAATTGGGAGCACCTTAAAGAGACAGCACCACAGTAGCACCATACTACAGAGGTAGTATAAATACTGGTTTGTTCAAGTTGTTATATTTAAAGTTACATTTTTATTCCACAGTTCCAAGTTTCACATTCCAGTTCCTCCCATTGTTCATCCTGGTCACCTCAGGGTGCCAGCCGCTAGTCCATTCCCCCAGGATCCATCTCCCACAGAGCCCTTTGGCTCTCACAATGTACCACCTGATGTGACACAACCCACCAAGAGAACAGACTTCATCCACAAAGACCCTCTGAGGAGAAAGTGAGGCAGAAGGCACCTTAAACTGCATTTCAGACACATTCATGTCAAACTATCACAGTTGAAGACTTAATTTTACCAAGTGGAAAATATCCATATGACTGCAAACCGACTCCAAACAAAATAAATGCCTTTTAAACAAAACCATTTCTCATGTCCTCAGTAGAAAATACACTATTTTCTCCTTGCAAAATGGATTTTTTTAAAGATTGCTCGAATTCTGTAATTGCTTGATTTCTGCTTTGCCCAAAAGCCACCAACTGTTTCTGCTGTTGAAGAGTTTATGTACACATGGCATTTGTGATCCTGGGGGTAAGTATAACAACTTATGGCTTTAAGGAATCAAAAACTTCCCACATAAGAATTTAAAAGTCAAAGATCGTACTTTCCAGGAAAATAAGGATCACATCGGGCTATGCCCAAGCCTAGAAAATTAACATTGGAAAGCAGCTTTTGTCAAATTGTAAGATCCTGGGAAATGTGTACTGAACCTGCCCTCCCTTTCCAGCCATGATGCAAGGGTTGCCTGCAGTAATCTTGTGGGAGCCGCTGGGGCTGCTTCATTTGTGAAACACTAACCCTGTGCTAAACCTGCCTCTTGTGACGTACTTCGAAAGAAACCAGAGACCCAGCCCTTTCCACGACTTCCCTTGAGCAAATGGGCTCCCTTCAGCACTATCTTCTGAAGCTGCTCCAGCAGCCTGTACCTGCTGTGTCAGGAAAAGCCTGCATGGTGAGCCAAGAGCAGCGTGCCGGCTGAGCCAGCCGGGCTGCTAACACCGAGCAGGCGAGAGCACGCACTGGCCCCGTGCCCACAGAGCAGGGAGAGATCTTCCTCTGAGAGCTCTGCTGGTGAAGAACCAGTCATCCAAACACAGCATCTGTCATCTGCAGCAGCTAAAGGAAGATGCTCAGCAGGAAAAAACTCCTCATCCTTTACATGCTGAGGTCTCCACATACTTCACACATGCAGAAACTTCAAAATTACTTGCTAAGGACCACTTTGCTCTGGAAGAGTGAGCATAGGGCTGAGAGGCTGGAGGCTCAGCCTCAAGGCTGCTACAGCCTTGTTGAGGAGCTGCAAACACATTTTTAATGTAAGTTAAAACCTAAGTTTAGGATCAAGTTGAAAATATTTGGAACTGATCATTCTCACTGCCACCTGGATTGGGAGAGGCTCCAGCATTGGCCAAAAATCCCACCTCACCCCACCACTTCAACTGCTACAATCCATACCTGACAATATACAGCAGGACCCTGTCTTGGATAGAAAGAACTATACAGAATGAATCCCTAAATGACCCAGTGTGTTGCAAAACACAATGAGTAATGTTCCATAAGGAATTGCTTAAAACAAGCACTGGTCAACAGAGGATAAAAATTAACTTGAGAGTTCTACTGCACAAGCTATTTGTAACCAAAATTAAATCCAATATTTAAAATACTGATGGAATAAGTTCTACTTACAGGCATTCAACTGAGAGCTGGGATCAGTGCACTTCCCTTTTCTTTTGCTTTGCTTTCGCTCTTCATCCCTGATCTTCCTCTCTGCTCCCTGTCAGACAATAGATTAAGGGAAAGCAATGGGGGAAATGAAGAAGAAGAGAGGGAGAGAGAAGGTATTCTTAATTTTTTGATGTTTTTCTTCAGCTGCAGAGGCAAAACACCAGTTCTTCCAGAGCTATATTTGTGGAGGTCAGATCCACAGACCCAAGCTGCAGGTTTGCCAGAGTGTGCCAGCTTTGAGATCTGCTTACTTTTGAGTCTATCATCTAATGAAATCCAACAACCATATCCAAAATGCAAATACTTGCTTTCTTGCAAGTTAGATGGAGATATGGTGACAAAAGATACCCACATCTATAACGATTGTGTAAAGCATTAGATAAAAGTATAGTTTTAAGTGTTTAAAACAATACAAAATTGCAGGTTCCCCCAGTTTAGGAGTTCCCTTGATTGTCATTAAAATCTACAGATGTCCCACCACATGTGAATCACCAAGTGCAAGATACCTCCTGCACATTTCACACAGAGCCTGCAGCAGCTGCACCAGCCTTCACTGGGCTCTAGCTGCAGACATGCACTGCTTTAAAGCAGGGATTATTTCTTCTCTTTTTACCATGGCCAGGCCAAGGTGGAACCCACAGATTCCCTAACTGGGTTCATGCCTGCACTGCTGCTCCTGGCCTTCCAAACCAAGCAACAGTGCCATATTGCCATTTTTTCTGCAAGGTGCAGACAGCTGTGATGGAAAAAAAAAAAGGAAGATAGAAGCATTGGAATAGTGTTCATTCCTCCAGCTCTGCCCAGACCTCACATGTGACTGTGGGTTAAGTCAGGGATGTCATATTGCCAGAAGTGGTAAGCATGAAGTGATACTGCATGAAGTGATAAGCCCACAGGAGATGGCCAACACTCAGTCCTGGTGCTACCACCAGGTCACCAAAACTAGTATACACAAGTTCTACCTGGTCTCCCAGTATCAAAGCAGGGCAAAAGGTAACAGTTACCTGGCCACACCAAGCCATTATTTCTCATTGCCTCTCCTTCAAAGCTGCCCAAACACACCCACAGCCTCGCATGGTCCTGGAGGAAGACTTCATTAGCTATAGCAAATGAGGTGTCAAAACTCATGTGGTCATGGCGTGGCAATCTGTGCCTAACGGTGCATGGGAGAAGAGGAACAGCCCTCCTTACTTCCCAGTAAATTGATGTTCTATAGATGCCAGGCTGCCTATGCCTGCTGGTAGCACTAGGCTCATCTGCACCAGCAATAAAAAGGAAAATTGGCCAAGGTATTTGATACACATTAACACATATAATCTCTTCTTCCTCCCAATGAGAGGGAAAAAAGCAGCTTCAGGGAGCTGTGGTGAAAGAGAGAAAAAAATTACACACGAAGACACAGGCATTGCCAGCTTTGCTTGACCCAGTAAAGCTGATATAGCCCACTACAGTGAAGACATCTTACCTAAACCTCAGCACAGTTGGACCTTAACCCCTCTGTGTTATCCCTTACCAAAGCAGTCACATCTCAGCTTGACAGCAGAAAGATTAATTCTGTTCCAGATCTGATTTTTACCTTTCATGTAGAAATAATAAAGTTGTGCTACTCAAACACTCTGCTAGAGAACAGCATCTGCCTCCTCGTGGAGAATATGCTGATTCAACAAGAGCACACATTTTGAGAAAATCTCTGCCCTCACATTCCGTGCTTGAAAGTCAACTTGATGCAGGCTACTGGAGCTCAGGTAAATATGTCTCAAAATCCACATTAAAAAAGAAAGTTATGTCTTGATACTAGGCTTTTCTGCCCTGCCAGCAGAGCTCAGGGAATTGTCCTGAAAGAGGACAGTTTTATACTGGACATAAGGAGAAAATATTTTTCTGATGAGGGTGATGAGGCACTCTCAGCTTGGCTAGAGAAGCTGTGGATGCTCCATCCTTGGAAGTGTTCAAGGCCAGGTTGGATGGGGCTTTGAGTAAGCTGGCCTAGTGGAATGTATTGCTGACCATGGCAGAGATCTAGACTAGATGACCTTTAAAGGTGCTCTGCAACCCAAACCCCATTCTGTGATCATGCAACCAAAGAGCAGTTTCCATGTTGCTGCCCATTCACATCAGTGCTCCAGCAGCCTTGTGCGTGCTCTTTCCTTCCAACAGCATCTCACTCATCTGTTCCCACCATCCCATGAAAGCCTTCTCACAGCACTGCCCATTACTGGCAGAGTAACAGCAGATCCCAGAGGGCAACACGAGCTCTAGTCAGTGAAACCCTGTATTTAATTCTCCTCATGTGGATGCACAGCTGAGGAACCATTCAGAATAGAGGAGGTCTTCTTCCTCTGGGACAGGTCAGCCTCATCCCTGCTCAGCCCAAATATTGCTGGGCCAAGCCTGAAGGAAGCTTGTGCCATAACATTCTCAGGTCCTGAAACTACACACGAGTAAATGAAAACCAAACATCCCAGAAGGAAGGAGCATCAGAGATGTGTGAAGAACTGACCACAGCCCCCATTTCCCTGCACTGCTGCAGAGGACAAGGGGAAGAATTAGGGAGTGAAGTTGAGCCTGAAGAAACGAGAAGGATGAAAGGAAGGTACTTTAAGATTTAGTTTTATTTTTTATTATCCTGTTCTGATTTTGATTTGCATTTCTCCTCCCTTACTTCCCTCCTCTTTTAATTCAGGTACAATTCAGAATTTGGAGGAATAAATCAGGAGAGTAAGTCAAAATCCCAAAAGGAAAATAAAAGATGCATTAGCATTACTATATTACTAGTTTGCTGAAATTTCTGCCATAGCTTGAAGGAAGCCATTGGCGTCTATATCTGACTACACACCTGCCTTTTTATTAACCAATCTGTCTTATTAGCAGTGGCACAAGCCTGTCAGTCATTTTAGCATTGTGTCAGTAATTGATTGGACAATTTAAGAGTAAAAGATCCCTCCCTCCCCTGTATAAAGTCTGTATTGTATTGTGGAGAAAAGAGGTTGATAGCACACCCGACTCCCAGATTACTCTGGTGAAAAAATGTTAGATGACACAGTTGCTTCAGTCTCATATTGAAACAGGAAAAAGAAAACAGGAAAATTAAAAGGCCTGAAGAAATCTCATGAGACCCAAACCTCTTAGGCATACTGGCAAGTCTTTAAGATGGCTCTGGAGAGCTTTTGCTAAGTCCCTGTAAATTCTCTGCAGAAAGCATCACAACAGGAACAGCTACAGGCAGCTCTCCCAGCTGTGCAGGAATGCAGAGGAACCCATTTAAAAGCCTGTGGATAGACAACAGAATGTGGAAGGGTGAGTTAATGGGATGCTACAGCAGGAGCACAGTGCAGAAGCACCGTATATTTTGGGAGGTAAGCAGAGACAGAATAATGGTGTATGAGATGAAACTTTGTGTCACTGCCCTAAGGAACACCAGGCAAGATCACACAGTGGTCTAGCAAAGCCAGCCGAGGACCAGAGAGGGCGGGTTACAGACCTGCCTCAGCCCTGCAGCTGCACGGAGAGGCATTTCAGCAATCACCTGAAAGAGTCTGCCCTATGAAGATGGAGTCTGCCTTAAAAGAGGCCCAAATCAAGCAGGATATCAGCAAAATTGGAAGTCAACATGGTTCACAGCAATCAAAAGGACTGGGGAAGTCCAGGAAGCATTTATCATGGCCTAGAACACTTGGTCACTCTGGAAATAGTAACATTACACATTATTTGCCGAAGACCTTCAAAAGACTGCTCAGGCAGGAACAGGTTATGAAAATTGGGAAATTGCCTTTTTTTGCAAACTCAGTTAAGCTTTTACAGCTGCTTTCAGTTCAGCTTTTGCTGTTTCTTTCACAGGTTCTATTGAAACTGGCTTTGGGATAGGCATTAATTCCGTGTGCTGAATTTGTTAAGGCAGAGTAGTCTAATTACAGCACCCATTCAACTTCTAAATGGGCTTTTTTATGCTGCTGTATGTCACGGTGGTACATCTTTTGTTCACAAGCTCTGCAAGTTACTGGTTTGGGGTTTTTTGTAACAAATACGGTATGAAAACATGAATAAACTTAAAAGGACCAACACAACAGAATTTGGGCAAAAAGACAAGCCTGTACTTGCTCCAGTCAATGGCAGTGATTTCTCCTACTTAAGGCTCTTCCCAGTGTCAGTATGCCACTGGCCGACCTTTCTCTAGAGTCAATGCTCAGGAACACTTATCACTCCAGCACTTTGGGAGCAACAAATTTATTTGAGGTCATCATATCATCTATGAGCCAAGTAGAAGAGGTTGAAATTTTTTAAACACAGACAGGACTTTCCAGTGAGTTGAAATAGCAAGTGACACAATTAGGGGAAAAAAAAAAAAAAAGCTGCTAAACTGTGGAGCAGCCTTTCCAAAACAGTCACTGGCACATTGATTCAACCTTACCTTGTCGCAGAAGACTTTAATTTGGCAGTAGGCTCTGTGGACAGGTTTGTTACTCCTGTTATTGTAGCTGTAAGTGTCAATCTGAAGATTCAGGGGCAGGCCTTTAACTCCCTTCTGAGAGGAAAAATCTGTGCTGAGGCAGTTCACAGAAATGAAAACCTGCAGAAGAAGAAAGCAGCACCTGTCAGTAGTGACACACGGGGTCCTGGCCAACCACTGAGCCAGGGATACTCAGGGAGTGCTAAGGCCCAAATGCTGGTCCTTGTCACTACAAGCAGCACCTTCTTTCTTCTGAGACACCAGGTAAAATCCCCAAGAAGCAACATAACATTCTTAAGTCTTTACATAAGCCATTGGAGGAGACAAAGACACTTTGTCCAAAACAGATTTCAACAGACCATCCAAACTTTAGGAAGACTCCACCCATCTTCCCACCCAAGAACTCCCAAAATGTCACCATCAAACTTTTAACAAAGGAAATGCTCCTATAATCAATTCTCACTGCTCAGCATTTATTATTATCTTGGTAAGAACATAACCATGTTCCAAAATATTCATGTTACTCTGGATAAGTTAAATCTTTCTATGAGTTTGACATAAGCACAGCTTATACTTGAAAGTACTTGGTTGAGGCTTTTTTCTAAAGGCTATTAAAAGCTTTTAAAAATACATTAGGCGATATGTAATCTTTAAACACAGAAGTAACACCATTATTCCAGTGAAAATTTCTGAGCTTTACACTAAGTTGAACACTACTTTGAATATTCCTTAGTAAGACATTCAATACCCTGTTAACATTCAGCTGGAAAGGGTAAAAAAAACATTTCCATTATTCTTACAAAAATTAATTACAGTGAAAATTAATTGCATGTTGGAATATATCTAATTTCATTTTCATAACTGCTTGAAAAAACAACAAAACAACCCTCTCAAAAACACAAATCATACACAACCACACAAGTCCAATGCTGCTTAACAGAATAAAGAAATATCCTTAAAGTGGATATGAGCATATAGTCCAGAGTACTTTGTATCTAGATAATGGGCTTGCAGTGTGCCAGGCTTTTCTACAGACACAACGCCTATTACTGGCACATCTCAGAAGCTGTAAGGATTAATTACCAGGAATTTACGAGCCACCAAGACCTGCAATGGCTTCTCTCCTCTCTGCCTGAAGAATAAAGGCTGGGAACTCGCTGCTTTAAAAAATAACCAAAGCCTTGGGAGCCAGAAGCATCTTCCCAGAGGTTTTGCAGGAGCACCGTCCCATGACCCGATCGCTCCCTTCGGTGGTGCCTCCACCAGCAGCACTTGAGCAGCGAGCTGGTGCCACCTCCCGGAGCTGCAGAGGCCCACACAGGCTGGGAAAGCTACAGGCTTTGCCTTTGCCAAGGGCTGCTTATCAAGGTCCAAGGTCCTCTTCACACAGGTTCTGAAATATCTTTTACCAGTTTCAAAGATAGGAGACAGAAATGTAAAACCCTGATCGGGTGATAGTTGATAACCATTGATTTTCTCCCACCATGGATAATATAGCTGTATAAAAAGCCAGGGCAGGGAGGAAAAATAGTGCAGGTGAGGGACTTCCCTCATAGTAATCTGTCTGAATACTAGGGATTCACATGGTGCTTCCTGCAGCCCCTGTGCCCGGAGAGGGCAGCACAGCAAACAGCCCCCTATTCCCTCCTGTGCACACACCACCCCAGAGATTCCAATTCCAATGTCCCCACCAAGGCCTGCTGTGCCAAGGGACATGGAATGAGTGAAACACCAACCCAGACCAGCTCAGCACATCAGCAGAGCCCCAGACCCACACTGCAGCCTCTGCAGGGATTCAAGCCAGGAACACGGGCAGGACACAAGTGAGCTGGTGCTCAGGGCCTGCTCACCCTCCAGCCTGTGCCCCAGCATCCCAAACTCACGTTGTTCCAAGACAACTTTTTGTGAAAGTGTTAAATACATCACAAATTGCAGTCAGGAAAATTATTTTTAAATAAGCTAGTCACAGTCTTCCTCAGACTAACCCAAAAGATGTCTCTGCCCGCTTTTCTCCACCCCACTTTCCTTCCTGCTACCTTTGGCTTTACAAGGACATTTTGCCTGCAGTGCTGGTACACCCCGGGGGAAAGCTTCAAGGAGTTTGAAGAGCTGCTCTCACCAGCTTGGGAGTTTGGTAATCAGATGTATGCACACCCTGAATAATTGTGTTCCCTGAGCAGGGGTTTTGTTTTTTAAAAGACCCTCAGCTCTGGTGTTTGCATATTTTTACATTTTAAATTTTAATTTTAAATTTAGCTATACTGAATATTCACTCAACTCATTTCTGTATGAAAAAATGACTACATTCTTAAAGAAAAACATGCCCAAGCAGCCACATCAGCAGGTCCACCACTGTCTCAAAATTTCTGTGAAATCCTGCAAATGAGTTTCACACCACTGGACACCAGAAGATTCAGTGTGCAGCATCAGTCAGCAGTTCTTTAGCACATGGTGTCATTTCTCTTCTGAGACTTAACTTCATGTTTTCCATTTTTATGGCTTACCAGTCACACAAAGCCATTGGGCTGAAGGTAGAGTTGGTCTCAGCACAACAAACACTTGTTACTACATACAGCAGAGCTGCACAGGTATCCCATGGGAATTTAGGATTGCCTATCAGATGCCAAAGATTATCCTCCTACTTCAGAGTCTCCTCATTTGATTAGCTTTGGCTTTATGCAGCTGACTTCATTTTCATGCCATTTAAATCTTCAGGACTCTAGGCAGGAGATGACAACTAAAACCTAATCACATCTCTGAAGCAACAGAGAGCCAGCCTGTCTTCTCCTGTTTGTACCAAACAATTTCAGCTCAAAAGGAACATCTACTTCTCCCTACCCATCCCGTAACTCCTATTTTTGAGTAACTTCAGGTTGCCTCAAGTTTCACAAAACAGAATTTTAGCAAACAGCTTTTCCAGTTTCAGCCAAGTTCTTAATGTATAGGAATATTTGACTTACATTAGAAATGAAATGTAAGGCCAATTGACTGCATCAGCTACATCCCCACCCCAAAATTGCCAGAAGAAAGAAAAATGTAACCACAGAAGTTGCTCTGCGTCTTCAGCCTGCTGAGCAAGATTCCTTTTCATGTGTCCAACCTATTTTTCTAAGGGCAGTTCCGCATTCTCAGCTATATTAAGATTTGTTGTTACTTTAAAAAAAAACAAAACCATTTTCATCTCACCTCCCAAGATTCAACATAAAGACAGCACTTAAAAATAGAGCACTGTCAAGCCTGGGCACTTACATACATGAGTCAAGCCCTCAAAAGTTACGCAGATTTTCTTTAAAACTGAGATTTGTAAAGGGATTAGAAATCTGTACTCAAGTTGTTTTGCTTGCTTGGCAGTTGAGCCTCTATATTTGACTACGTATGTCTAGGCTATCACATATCCGGGCTTTTCTCTCTAACCCAAGGCAGGCTTTATTTATTCCCCTTTTTTCCTGTTGATTTTTTTCCACACCTTTTCTAACTCCTTTCAAAAAAAGCTGAGATACTCATTGAGACAACTGGCTCCACAATGGTGGCATATCAGATAAAATCAAACAGCATGAAAACTGAGCTGCTACAAACTGCTAACCTCTTATACCTGGCATTCACCCCAACACTCTAAAGCCTCTTTTCCCCAACACCATACTGGGTTTTCTGCTGCCTTTGGGGCAGCCCTGCTGCACACAACAAAAGACTGAAGGCAGAAGGATTAAAGCACCTCCTCTGGGATCATGCTGGAAGTTAGCGTGGGAAGAAGTCAGACCTCATGACTTCTCTGTCTGCTTTAACCATCCGACCCCTCATGCCCCTCCTCACCTAAGGTGGGAGGAACACACCGTGCCTACATTCAAATCCACGAGGAACAATCTTTCATTTTCATAATGAAGAAAAAAAATTAATCCGACAGCTCTGCTGCGTGCCCTCAAGGAAGGGCAGCAGAGACAGCCAAGTTCTTTCCACACAGCACCTTTTTTTAACAAGATCTGCCTTTCAAACAAACCAGGAAAAACAGACATAATTAAAGGGCAATCAAAGCACTGCAGGAACCTCTCTGTCAGCAAGATGAAAGATGCCTTTTTTAAATGAAGGCTTGCATACCCAGATCTCTTCTCCTCAGTTTATCTTGGACACTGTACTCTTCTGTCACACAAAAACCACTAGCAGTTCTGATGAGTCCAAAGGCGACATATGCAGCAGCTATGCCCAGTTGGAACAGAGCAGTGTAGGTTCTCACCTGGGGCTGCCACAGGCAATGGGGAGCAACTTGGTGTTAGCATCATGAACTCTGACCAGTCAGAGCAAACAGGCATGGGTAGTACCATCCTGCAAAGTCCTGTACATCCTTCTGGATAAGGACCTACACAGGCAGGTTTGGGACTCTTCCAGACTGATCACCTTGCTCCACGTTTATTTAGTTTCAAGAGAAGGCAGGAAAATGGTATTCTCCTCCTATTTATGATCCTTTATATTTGTGTCCAAAGGATTAAGACATTACTCAACAATCCAAGTCCACTGGATATTTCTTTCTCTATTGTGAATTCAGATAAAAACCTTAGCTCTTTTCTCACACTAGTACACAAAAGCCTCTCATTTTAACCACAGAACAGTTTGGGTTGGAAAGGCCCTTAAAGATAGTCTAGTCCAACCCCCGATGCTATGGGCAGGGACACATTTCACCAGACCAGAAGGCTGAAAATCTCAAACCTGGCCTTAAACACTTCCAGGAATGAGGCATCCATAGCTTCTCTGGGCAGCCTGTTACAGTGCCTTAGCACCCTCACAGTAAAGATTTTCCTCCTAATACCTGATCTGAATATGTCAGTTTGAAGCCATTCACCCTTGCTCTGAATCACTCTAAGCCCCCGTAAAAAGTCCCCCTCCAGCTTTCTTTTAGGCCTCTTTTTGGTTCTGGAAGGTGTTTTAAGGTCTCTCCAGAGCCATCCCTTCTTCAGGCTGTACAACCCCAACTCTTCAGCCTGTCTTCATAAGAGACTTTCCAGGCTATGTCATATTCAGTCCATGTTATATTCAATTTAAAATTGTCAAGATGCTTTTGATCTTGGATGACTGTGTTTGTATATACAGAGTTTGGAGCCTACAACACAACAACCAGAGACAGGTTAAAC